TGACTGCAAGATGAAGAAAAATCAAGCAAAAGAAAGCTTTATGCTGTCAGCCTTCTGTGCTTGCTCTCTGTGTGGCCTAACTGAGACTCTATGTGAGTGTGCTGTCTGTGTCTATTGTGTGGCACCTTAAAAGAAAGCAGCATCCAGTCACAGAGGAATGTAAAACTGTGGGTGTTGCTTGTTGGAGATGCTAGAGCGAGCCTGTCTTCTTAACTCCTCCTTTCTCTCTCCTCCACACGCCCACCCTCCCTCCTTTGCCAAGTGTTTAATTAAAATTTTTACTTGTTGTTGAAAAGGCTGGAGTTAAGCCTGACATTAGGCTCAGGGGCCGCATGGGGTTCCAGTTGGGGGTTGGTAGTATACGTGGGAGTGGGTCATGTGTGCGGGGGTGGTGGATTTGGAAGGGGTAAGGCATTCGTCTAGCTGTCACATAGCCCTCCACCAACCAGATAGGTGCTGGATAAGCTCCCTCCACCTCCAGTGTCATGGTGGGGGTGGATGTTGAGAGGAATGGGAGCAACAATCCTCTTGATCCCAGAAATACCCTAATAATAATCTGGACTGGACTCAGGCTCTGCTCCTAGTAAAGTGTCAGTCGATGAAATGGTCATTCACACGTATTTTTCTATGCAAATATGCAAGAAACATATTAATCTGTGCAGGAAAGACATATTTAAAGACATATTTATTTACACTTTCAATGCAGGAGTTACAAACTCTACATTGCATGCTTGTCCATTTTTGATATTTTTGGTCAGCATGAAAGACTAAATCATCAAATTCTAATATAAAGCATCCTACAGAGCAAAATTAATGGGTTTCAGGGCATGTTGAGATAAAGGCAACGTTCTCAGTGTCATGACTGTAGCTCTCTTTCAACATTGGCAAGTCAACACAGCAGCTTTTTCTGTTTTTGCAGTGTCATACACATCAGGAATGTTTTGTGTACACGTTGAGACAAATACTGAAAAGAATTCAGTTGTTTATGCAGAAAATCACTAATTCCATTATTGACACTGGTCTGTGCCCAAGTCTGTTTTACACTGATGGGACTGCAACAAATCTAGTTTAAGGCTATTTGATTTAATAGGGGAAAACTGGCCCTATGTGAAAAATAGAGCCTAATAATTAGTTGTGTCACCCTTAACAGCAGGAAGCATTTGTGAAAGCTGGCAATCTATCAAGTCTTTCATATCACTGTGGAGGAATCTGGACCACTCTTCTTTGTAGAATTGTTTTCATTGTGCTGCGTTGGAGGGTTTTTAAGCATGAATGGTCTGTTTAAGGTCACGCCAAAGCATCTCAATCAGATTCAATCCCCAAAAGAACAGATGAGAAACAAAGTCACTGACGTCTATCAGCCTGGAAAGCGTTACAAAGACAATATAAGGCTTCGGGGCTGTGGTGAACCACAGTGATAGTCATTATCCACAAAGGAAGAAAACTTGTAACAGTGGGGAATTTTCCCAGCAGCGTACCAAAAGTACTGTAATCGAGGATCGACCCGACCAGGAGGTCACAAAAGAACCCAGAATGACTTCTACAGAACCGAAGGCCTCACCTGCCTCACTGAAGTTTAATGTTCATGAGTTGATATTAAGAAAGATATTAGGCAAAAATAGCTTCTGGGGGAGAGTTCAAAGGAAAACAACACTGCTGACCAAAAAGAACACAAAGATATGAAACAAAAGTTGAACTTTCTGAAGGATTTGCATCCTGTTATAGTAAAACGAACACCTGATTCCATAAAAACATACCAACAGTCAGACATGATGTTGATAGTAAGATTGTCCCTTTAGGACCTGAACAACTTGCAGCATTTGTTGAAACTACGAATTCTATAGAACCAGTTAAGTTTGGATATTTTTTTCCTTAATAAATGAAATCATCATTAAAAAAACCAGAATTTTATATTTACTTTTTTTATTTCAAAGATATTAAATATCACGGACATGTTAATGAAAAGCATGGACAAAATAACAAGTCAGAATGAGGCAATTTAGTTTTTCACAGCACTGTGCTTGGTGCATCTTCTGTTTACCTGTTAATAATAACACACTGTAGTTCTTTGTTCTTCAAGCAGTTAGTTGGACGTTCTGATTGCTAACAGTTACCAGAACACATAAATCACAAAACTTAAATGTCCACAACTGATAATCTGAGTTTGACTTTATCCATTAACAGAATTTCCACTGGTGTGTTCAACGTGCCACAAACATTATTCAGATGGAATCTGTCATTTCTTGTATAAAATAACAAACAATAAAAAATAATAAAATAATGCGAAAGAACAAATCTGACAAATAGTGTTCTGGATATTCTGTCCAAAAAATAAGACATGAAGTGATAATTTTCACCTTGTTCCCTATTTGTTGATGTGCCAGACAAGTTGTACATGTTGGCACCGTGTTCATCCAAGAAGTGAGAAGCATTACAAAATACAAACATTTTGACTGAGTTTTCAAGGTCTGTGTCTGTAATCAGCCTGTTCTTCTTTGCTACTTTGTTTCACTGCTGCTTTTACTTTTGCTAACTGTTTGTACAGAATTGCACACAGCTCCCATTATTTATGACCTCAGTCAGCAGTTTCTGATGAGATGCAGGTTTCAATAACTAACTTAAAGTCACACTGAATACAAAATAACATTTTTTTATTTTGTTAGTTATTGTATCATTAGTCACAAAGTCATTGGATCATAAATGATGACAAAGCAGGGGAGGGCTTTGTCGTGGACGATAAATCGCAGCCAGTGAGCTTGCACTATTACTAAGTTTCTCAGAGAGAGGAATTCCCTCTTCCGTGGTTTAAAACATAAATATAACAGTAATAATGTTCAGCTCGAGGCACTATGGGCTGTAACTAATAGTGGGTGATATCCATTGGATGGCTTGATCCATCTTTTTAGTTTATGTTAACAACCATGTGCACAATGAAAATTTAAGCTCAAATGTACCAAGAACATTAAATGTCTGAGGTCAGTCTTAGTTTTATAGAAAAGTACACCTTACATGTGATGAAACACTAGCAGCCTATTAAAAGACTGTACTGTTTGACACCTGAGAAATAAGAAAGAACTTGTAACACTGCGTCAAGAGTCTGACTCACACCCGATGTGTGGATTCAGCTAATATTTCTGCTATATTTTCACTGATCACAGTTGACCTGTGACGATCTGCTCAAAGAGAATCATCTGAGTGCACCCAGGTATTCTTCATTTATTCTTAATTATCAGAAAATCCCACAGAGAGACAGCTCAGGGAGAGAGGTAAGGCTGAGATGTTTCAGAAGGAGGGATGGTGGAAATATTGGACAAAGGACATTCAATGTGGGGCTGCCAGGAAGGAGGAAAACACAGACATCATGAGGGAAGTTCATGAAGGAGGATATGAAGAGGGTGGTGTGCGGAATGGGGTGAGACTGAGGCAGATGATCTGTGACAGATAATTGAGATAACTGTTGTTGTGATTTCAAGTCAAGTCAAGTTGGCTTTATTGTCACTTCAACCATATACAGTTTAACAGTACACAGTGAGGCGAAACAACGTTCCTCCAGGAACCAAGGTGCTACATGCAACATAAATTTACAACATAAATTAACAGAAAACTCTAAGCTAGCTAACTAAGAGGCCTAGTTAGCTGGCTAGCCGAGACAAGACAGACTGACCTAACATAAATTACAACATAAATTATGTAGGTTTGGTGCTATAAGCAGAAAAGTGAGCAGCCAATAGAAGAAGAATAGAAAGCTGGTATACATCCCCACAGTGCCTATGTCAGTGCTCATGTCAGTCTAGGGCACGATGTGGTGCATCATTGTTTGATTACAATATTGCTACAGCTGTGATTTTTATTGTTCAAACAAACCTCTGACTATAGAAAAGTGACGTAGCCAGTGATTTGTTGGTTTGGGAATCTGCATTTGGAATCCTCAGAATAATGAGGCCAAAATTTGTGTTAATTTATTAGATTTTAATGTGCGAGCCCTGCTAATCGTTTTCACCTGCTGATCAGTCCCCATTGTCCTCAGTGTAGTTATAATCCAGTTTTTCTTTTGTCTTTTCTCCAGACATCTTTTGATATTATGATGACATTATCTCTACTTTCAAACTTTCCGTTTTGCTAAAGCATATAGTTAGAGCTGCGTCAGGTGACCCTGGATCCTCCCTTAGTTATGCTGCAGTAGGTGCCAGCTGCTGGGGGATTCCCATGATGCACTGAGTATTTCTTCTTCACTCACTATGTGTTAACAGACCTCTCTGTATTGAATCATACTTGTTATTAATCTCTGTCTCTCTTCCACAGCATGTCTTTATCCTGTCTTCCTTCTCTCACCCCAACCAATCACAGCAGATGGCCCCGCCCCTCCCTGAGCCTGGTTGTGAGGTTTCTTCCTGTTAAAAGGGAGTTTTTCCTTCCCACTGTCACCAAAGTGCTGCTCATAGGGGGTAATATGACTGTGGTGGTCTACCTGACAATATAAAACGCCTTGAGGCAACTGTTGTTGTGATTTGGCGCTGTACAAATAAAATTGAATTGAATTGAATATTCTTCTTGATTCTTATACTTTTCTGAACTATATTAATTTCTGGACTTCTCGTGCTCCAGACTTTGTGTTTAGACTTTGCATTTACCTCATAAAAGTCTTTGTTCATTTTTGGTTTGTCCTATTCAAACCCAAAATACCAGTTCTGCAATTATTCTCACCACGTTCTTCAAGTTGAAATTTTAATGGAAGAGAAACGACATATCAGCCAATCAACTGATGGAAAAATAATTTTTATGCTATTTTAAAAAGCATAATAATTATTATTTGCAGCATAAAACAAGCCGCTGAATCCACACCACTGTGTTCAGACTGTCTTGTTTAAAGTGCACGTTTCTCGTGCAGACAGCGAGCAGGGAGTTAAGGGACCCGTTCAGTCTGATCCATGACTCCACTCCACGTTTTCCACTCTTCACTCTCTGCTGGGGTGATTACGCTCTGCTTACTCCAACTTCGACCCTGCGACACTCACACACAAACTCTCAAACACACACACGCACATACACACTTAGCGGTCCAGCATGGAGGCGCCTGCTCCGAGCAGCTAACTCTGGAGCAGCTGGAGCGCATATCTTGCTGAATGGAGTACCTGTGGACTGACAGCATCGCATGAGACTGACATTAGCAGCCTGCTCTACCATGGAGTTTGGAAAGGTTTGGTCCAGATATCAGAGGACGCTGCTCATCACCATGATGATGTTCAAACTGGGTGAGCTCCCAACTTTGAGGTTTTGATTTTTTTCGTCTTGAATGTATAAAATCACAATAACCTCCACAGTTACATCAAAGCGAACCAAAGTGTAGCACGAAGAAGAAAATCTTATAAAGCTGCCCTTTTCCGACAACGCAAATAGTTAAAAAGGTATTTTACAACAGCACGATGGCTCTGTGCAGACATACACATGTACATATTCGCGTCAGTGCTTAAGTAAATAAACATGCAGACCACTGCTGACCTAACAGGACATAAAGATGGAAAATAGTGCTATCATCAATAAAAAGTACATATTTAAAGTTGTCTGATGAATCACAAATATGATTTACATTTAGGGTATTGAATCCTGTTCTATCCAAATGTTGAGATCTATAATTGTGGAGCTCTACATATTGTTTCCTGTTATTAAAATAACTTTGCACTCTTTAACAAGTGTATCATACACATGTCCGAGTAAGAACCTTTAAACATATTAAGTTCATCCACGGGTGCAGTTTTTTGCGTGTCTAAAGTGTTTGTTTATGTGCTCACATCACCCAAACTCTACCCCAACCCCACCAAGATTAGGGTTGGGGCCATTTTATTATAAAACTTTTGAACATTTACAACATTTAAATGGAAAGTCCTTTTAACAGCAAACATTGCTGTGCAAAAATTGGTGTAAGAGACTTAATTTGAAAGGTAATATCCCGCATTTTACAAAAAAACCTGTATTTGATATGTGGACAAAACAGAACAATAACACTAGACTTATGCTGCAGTGTGTATGTATAAAAACTGAAACTAACAGGACACACTGTGAGAGTAGTTTGGTAAGTTTTTCATTTAAAGGTAAAGGATGTTACAGATATACTACATATTGTATAACAAATGTATAAATATTGGTGCCAAATGAAAGGACGCCTGCAGTGAGGGGATCTGGACGCTCTGTTGTGCTCTGTGACATATTTTGCTATTATGATTTGAATCCACCTTTTTATTAGAGGGAAGTGTTACTATGAAAAAGATCAAATGTACTTAATGAACATGGAAATGGCACCAAGTTACAAAGTGTCTTTAGTTTTTTCTTTTGTGTTTTTTGTGTGTGCTAAAAACTACACGTGAGAAATATATCTTTTAACTGGAGGTTTAGCACAATCATTTCTTTACTTACATCATACTGTGCTCATGAGATCACAAGATTAACTCGAATGAGCGTATGCTTCAACCTCCTGAATCCATACTCTATCAGAGAACCAAGAGATATAACAGGGTTTAAGTAGGTGTGCTCCTTATGGCTCCTAAATGTGTGCAGGGTGTGTCTGGGTGTGCACTGTTGGGGGGGGTTCAAAACCTTATGAAACCCTACTGACCTATTTTTCCCGCAACCTTCATTTGTGTGAAATGTCTGAAGCTCATTTAAACGGTGGTAGAACGGCGGCATGGATTGGCTGTGGGTGGCATTGTTAAAGATCACCATGGTAACGAGCTGAGCGTCCGGCTGCACTGCTGCACAGCTTTTTTGTCTCGGCTTTGAATGGAGGGGGTGATGGGTATTAAGGAGCATGGCAAGAGGTCTGGCACGCAGCAAGTTTTAAAGAAGAAGGCAGGCGAGAAGAGACAGAGGAGACAGGGCGATGGTGAAGAGACGAACACGAGGATGACAGAGACTGGAAAACTGGAAGAGTTCACATGAAAGTAAAAGTATTTAGAAAAAGTTTTTAACAATGAGCACATTTGAAAACCTCTCAAAAAGCTGAACAACATAGAGTTTGTTCACAAATATATTTACTGTTACCTTTAAAACAAATTTGGTATTTTTAGGAAATGGGAAAAATACAAAACCAACATGTCCTACAACTCATCCATTGGTCTCTTGAGTGCTGTCTTCTGCAGATGATGAACACAAAGGAGACAAGTGCATTTGTCAGAGCCATTCCCGTCTATAGGACACGAGCTGTGTCTAATTCCAAAAGAATTTGTGAAATGCGGATAGAAAACTGGTGACTAACAATATGAAAAACATGGGGGCTAAGATGTATATAGAAGCCTTGTATTATACTTTTTAAACGTCTGTGAGCAGCTAGCTGACAAATTGACAGCTAGCTGCTCACAGACAACTTGGTGTAGCTTATACAAAGAAACAAATTTCCCTCCAGACTAGACACAAATAGTGAGTTTAAAGTGACATGGCCTCTACAGTAACTCACGGAGGAGACAAAAGAATGCATGTCTGTGGCTAGCTGAGTCAGAGAAGATTTGTGCTTTTTTTGTATAAAGTAAAGCAGCCACCTGCCGTGGGGCATTAGGAGCCCAAAGCGGAGCCCAGTCTCTTGTGGTGATTCAATAAAATTCCTCTGAGCTCAACTCGTGCGTTAGCCAGGGGCTTCCCTTTATCTATGATTCACAGCGCTGCTGTTTCCTCAGCCCTGCAGCAGTACTCTCTGTTGACTCTGTGGTGCTGTTGCCGTGACTCAGGGTAAACACGTATCGACTGCCTTTTACATCTGCCAAGAGTGAATTTGATTTTCTAGCAACACACCGCTATCTACATCCTTTGTAATGCACCCATCTGTGCACAAATGTGTAGTCACCTATTTGATTCACTTAGCTCTAGTTTTGCTGTTTTTAGTAAGTTAGTGAAATAACTCCAGAAATCTATTTTTAATGCCAACATTTCATTCGGTTAGAACTGGCAAATGTATAACATTACCAGCTCTCTCCTTGATTACTGGTTGACCATCATCACTCTGGACATCCCCAGGAGCAGGTGTTGTGGGGAGGAAAGCCAAGTCACTAATATTTATTCTCCAGCTACCCACTAGACCATTATGTCCACTCCTCCAATAAACTTCCTCGTTAGGGTGTGGGGGTTGTTTCCACCCGGGGAAGTATCCACTGTGTTAGCCAGCTGGTCTTGTTAAGTGGGAAGATATGTATGTGAATCATATACAGTAATGAACAGAAAACAATAATAACATTTATTTGGGTGATGCACTCAAAATCACCATGGCTACTCTTAATGAGGATCATCCGGAACCAACCCTTGAGTCCAAGGTTGTTACGGATACAGTTTCTTAGCTCCAGGATTTCCCAATTTCCCCTTATTATTCTCTCTATTTTATAATCATGCATAACTTTATTTATCTGTTCCCTTTTTTATATATTTGTTTACCCTTATTTCTTTACTAGTACTATTGGTATTATTATTTTCTCCCCCTCTTCATCTTTTTCTTCATCTTATCATTAATAGTGGTGGGATTATATCATTATTATTAGTAATAATATCATTATTAGTTCAACTTTGGGTGAAAAACGAAGTTGATTTTTGAAGCTGGATTTCTATTCGATTCAATGTAATTAAACTGAATTTTATTCATATATCACCAAATTGCAGCAGTCACCTCAAGACCAATAATGCAGTAATACAGAGAAAGCCCCAACAATCACCTAAAGCCCTCGGAGCAGGCACTTGGTGACAGTGGGAAGGAAAAATGCCTTTTTGAGGGGAAGAAACATCTGGCTGTTTATTTTGAATAAACCATTCCTTTGCAGATGGTTCAAGCTAATCGAAACAATTCACCACTTCCTGTTGACAAATGGAGCATTTGTCTAAAAGACATCCAAAAAGTAGATAAAATGATAAAATAAAAAACACCTACCTTTGTTTTTGTTTTAAACAAAATGTATTGGTATCTTTCAGTTGTGGTCAAACGTCTTGACAGTTAAATTTTTTCCCCACTGTGATAGTGGGCATGTTGGTGCACTGGATGGCACTAGTGCCTCATAGAAATAAGGTTGTTAAATCAGATCCTCTTTCCAGGACTGTTGTTAAAGGATTTCTTTTTCTGCACATTTTCAGCTTCTTTTGACAACTTTTTGTTATGTGCGACAAAGTTGGAAAAATCTATTCTAATTAGCATTTGAGACATCAGGATGCTTTTTGTTTTCTTTATAATATTTGAACAGATGATGACGTAAGTATTACTCTGCTGTATATGTCTGAAACAACACACAGGCAGAGCAGACTTTATTTCAAATGATGCATTTTGCTACAACATATTACATCTAATGGCTAAACTATGCCTGTACATGAACTTTACTGACTGCTTTAAGTACATCACACTCGAACTGAAGTTTCTGTCTTTAAGGTTATCTTGAATTATGCACATTTAGAATAGCCCCAGATTTGCTTCAGATAATTAATAGCTCTCTATTTCAGGCAACAACTACATGCTTTATAATGCAAAACATCCTTTTTCATGTCCTTCAGGCTGGATTTGTTCATACCACAGCATAGTGATGAGACAAAATCTTCTGTTTTGGTATTAAATGATCACAGGTGATAATATGCTACTGCTGGATAGAGCGGAAAAGATGGTTCAGGTCATGTTTACATGATAGACACTACTTCATGTCACTTGATAACGATGAATTTGAGAAAAGCCAACATGTGGAATTCCTCAAGAGTCCCTCGTTGGACCTCTTGTGTTGAACATGTACCTGCTTTGCTCAAATTCTACTTGTGCCTTACAACAGCGGTCCCCAACCCCCGGGCCTCGGACCCGTGAGTCGTTTGGTACCGGGCCGTGACAGTTGAGGCTCAGGTGTGAAATGTCTGGTTTTCAGGGGTTTTATCGGTTTTCAGCGTTATTTTGTTATCGTTTTGATCGTTAACTCGGTTTTCCTGGGTCTTTCACGTGTGTTATGAGTAAATCTTCTTTTTTTCAGTACCGGTACTAGTTTTATTGGCATAAACCGGTCCGTGGAGCAAAAAAGGTTGGAGCCCATATGGAAAAGAAATAGTAAAAACTTATATGATTTACTCATGAAAGTGGCCACTTTCTCATTACTTTCATACATTGTTTTAGGAAGTATCCAAAACATCCAAGTTTCATTATATAATTTTTCAAGGGATCTTTTATCTGTTTTCACTCTTATATGCTTTTCATACAAGTTTCACACAAGACAGATACAAACTTTATAAGATTTATATATATCTTTTCCATATGGGAGACCTCTGCCTTACAAAACATCCAGGTGAACAGGAGGAGGTCTTCTATGAATTCCTAGAATTAGAAACAAAACAAAGCGATGTTTACGTGTGGAACAAAGTGTGTAACAACCATGCATGAGTATTCGGCTGTTAAGGTCTATGTACCCTATTCCCTGATTCTCTGATATAAAAATATAATAATGGTTCTACAAAGTCTTAACAACAAAGTAGAGACATTCTGACTAGCACACACTATTATTATTTTGTATTTTACTAGTAAAAAAGTATTTTTTGAGCTCATTGCCCAATGTTTTAGAGCTCAGAGTTAAAGTATGGATTAGGTTCAGTGTTAGGAAATCTGCGAATACAAATCAAATGAAAATCTGACTATTATCCAAAAGAGGGATTTAAAAAAGAGCATTACACTGAGTCAATATCCTTCTTCTCATCAGAGGGAATGGTCATGGTCTATGTTAAAGTGAAGACTCCCTAAAGAGACACGCTGAGGTCTCTGGAGAGCGTCGGCAGTTTGACATCACTCTACCTGCTAACAGTCCACGTCTCTGCTTAGTGTTATTGTTGGATCGAGAGGCTGGTACCAGTCAGTGTCAGGGATCGACCCTGTGCGGCCGTGATCTATGATGTGTTCTGTAATGGCACGGGGGCTGATGGGCTGTGTGTGTAGGAGGAGCTGTTATCATCTCCCTGGAATGTGTGAGGGGTTGACTGAGTTTGGATGAAGGAGTGAGGACAGCAGTTGTCCCTGTTTGCCCACTTCTACAGTGCTGATGAGAATTAGAGCCAGTGCGGGTTAAAGCCCGGAGTTCTGATGGAGTTCAGCTTTCCATACTAGTCTGAGGAGGCAGGTTGGAGGGGGTGAGAAGGAGGGAGGCTAAAAAAAGAAAACTAGAAAAATGTTGATGTAAGAGAGACTACACAACGTAATATCTGACTCGCTGCATTTCTGTCATGGTCCTGGATCTGGTGACCCAGTGTTCATGTGTTTTTGAGTTTTTGTTAATATTTCTTGGTTTTGTTCAGTTAGTTTTTGTGCTTATGTTAGCGTTTAATCTTCAGGTTCTGGACTGTTTAATTCGGTTTAAAAGGAGGTTTATGTTTTTATCGTACGGTTGGTGTTCTTGTTACATCGTTTAGTTTCTTGCTCTTCATAATCCTAGTTCTCCTCCTGTGGTTGGTCCGTCATCCTTATCTTGCCTGTGTATTTCAGTCTCCCTCTGTTTGTTGTCACGATCTCCGAATTAGCTGTCAGTTCTGGTCGGGTCATGTATACCAATGTATGGTTGTAGTTCTAGCTCACCTTTTGTTTAGTTCATGTATTTTACTTTTAGCAAAGCTGCTGCTTTAAGTCAAGAGAGTCTCAGAGTTGTGCGTCCTAACCTAGCCTGCCACACAGCTCATCGTGACACAACAAAACCAATATAGTCCATGTTTGATCAAATACATATCACACTTTCATATTCAAATTTAGTAGTGTAATTTTCATAATGCATTTTGTATGACAGTTGCAGGCCATTATCAGTTGTAATCACTTGATTAGATCTACTTCATTAAACAGGAGGCTGTCTAACTAATCCGAATTAGAGATAAAATATTAAAGCATCTGTAGTTTAATAGCTGCTGTGGTGGCTCCTCAGGACCTCTGTGTTCTGTAACACCTGTAATAATAAGAATGACAATACTGCTACTAATAATAATCTATAGTAGATGATTCTCTGCTAGACAAATTATTGGATGTGGTGGATTTCCTTTATCTGATTTCCTTAATTGCATTTGTCAATAAATAAATGATGTCTTAGGTGCTGCTGAAATGTGTTGTGCTTTGTATTATTCATACAGCCTACATACTGTGCTTAGGACCAACAATTAACTAGTTTTATCTATGAATTGTGAATAATGTCCTTTAACCAGGCATTTGTGTTGCTAAAGAGCGCACAAACATTTAACTGATCTAGTTGGCTAGTAGTGCACATTGCTGCTTATAATGAACACTGAACAGTAAACAGTCCTCAGCTCAAGTGTTTCCTGACTAATATGTCTTTGGACTGTGGGGTGAAGCCAGAGTACCCAGAGAGGACTCATGCAGACACGGGGAGAACAAACGCCACACAGACAGGCTTCAGCCAGATGGCAGAGGGACTATAGTGCTCACCACTTTGCTGTAAACAGTATAAGAAATATATAAATATTTTGTAACTTTCAGATATTTAAGTTTTATTCTTTTCTTAGATTGACATTTTTTTTAAAACTCAAAAGATGTAATTATATCAGGGCCCACTTTAGACACTCAAATACGAAGACTATAATATGTCTATAATATAA